AACAATCCTGACTTTGGACCGGCCCAACTTTAGCCCTTGTGGCCATTTGGGGAGTGAACCAGTGAGTGAAAGTTCTGTGTGTGTGTGTGTGTGTGTGTGTGTGTGGATAACTGCCTTTCAAATAAATAAATAAATCTTTTAAATGCATTTATGTACAGTATATATATATATATATATATATATATATATATATATATATATATAATGTTTCAAAAATCAGTGGTGTTATTTGAACAGTATAATTGAAGTTCTCTGTTTTAAAATAAATATTAATAGAAGTAAATTCATTGTTTTTGTTTTATGATTTTCTTGGGTGTTCCCTTTGTAATACTTTATGGGTCTTGGACATACTAGTGGGTATGTTGAAGTTTATCTTGGTATCATTTAAAACTATGATGGCAAAGAGTTTCCACTGTTTTGTCAGATTGCATCATATCAAATAGCCTATAGTCAGGAAATTCTCAGGTCCAAACCTTGCAGAGACCAAAAAAAAAAAAAAAAAAGTAAAAAAAACTGAGATGATTTCAAGGAGGGTCCCTCTTTTTCTGGTTTGTATCAACTCTGTAAATCTAGAATACTGTTTGCCATGTGCCCGGGATTGCAGAAGGAAAACAGCAACAAAGCTTTAGCTGCTGAGAAGTAATTTTGTTTCACACATTATTCTAAAGACTGTAGTTTATTGAAAAATCTCAAAGAAACAAAAAATGGGACCTTATTCCTCAATGTTCTTGGTATTTTTATTCTGAAGTCAATTGAATCCAAAACATCTGGCATCACATCCATATTGTTTCACTTTGATAGTGCTGAACAAAATAGCCCTTTAAAAAACATAGAAGTCATTTGAATTTCAAACATCTACAGGTTCCATAATGGCAAGATTGGGCCGCATTGAAATATGATTGATCAGGAATCTGGTTCTTTTGTTCTGCTGAGAGCACATCCAAAATTTCCCCAGAGCCGGCGCCATGGCTCAACAGGCTAATCCTCTGCCTTGCGGCGCTGGCAAACACCAGGTTCTAGTTTGGTCGGGGCTCTTGGATTCTGTCCCTTTGCCCCTCTTCCAGGCCATCTCTCTGCTGTGGCCCAGAGTGCAGTGAGGATGGGCCCTGCACCCACATGGAGACCAGGAGAAGCCCTGGCTCCTGCCTTTGGATCAGCACAGTGCGCACGGCCACAGCAGCCATTGGAGGTGAACCAATGGCAAAGGAAGACCGTTCTCTCTGGCTCTCTCACTGTCCACTCTGCCTGTCAAAAAAAAAAAAAGCCAAAATTTCCCCGAGCAGATGGCCGATGTGAACCTGATCCATGAAGGGCTTCATGTAATTCTTTTAGGTCTCTGTGTAAGATAATGATCATGACCGAAGGCCCTGATCACCATGAATCTGACCGAATCCAAAAGCAAAACACAGAGCTAATTATCACTGGCTCATTTCAAAGGACTTACAATTCTGCATACGCTTGGTGCCCAGTGGCCCAGTTATAATTGGCTTTGTAGTTGAATTAAGCTTGGCTTTAAGTTATACAATGGATAGTGCGGTTTTCTCCCTGAAGACAAAAGCTGATATCCAGCAGAGTGTTGACCTGAATACAGTCACCCTAAACCATAGAAGATGGCAGTGTTAAGTCACATGTGAGAAATGAGGAAGCTTTCTCAGTAAGGTGGTCAAAGTACCTATTGATAGATCTTAGCTTTAAAAGTTCCTGTAATGGGGCCAGTGCTGTGGTGTAGTAGGCAAAGCCTTTGCCTGCAGGACTGGCATCCCATAAAGGCACCTATTCATGCCCAAGCTGTTCCTCTTCTGATCTAGCTCTCTGCTTATGGCCTGGTGTAAAGCATGAAAAGATGGCTCAAGTGCTTAGGCACCTGCACCCCATATGGGAAACTAGAAAAGGATACTGGCTCCTGGTTTCAGATCAGCTGAGCTCCAGCCTTTGTGGCCATTTGAGAGTGAACCAGCAAACAGAAGACCATCTGCCTTCTCTCTCTCCATCTGTAATTTCTACCTATCAAAGAAATAAATAAAATCTTTTTTAAAAAGTCCATGTGTCTATTTGTACGTTATATATGCATTTAAAGTTCAAGTGGAAATTTATCTTAATTTAATGTGTTATTTTCTCATATAGGATTGTTGAAAGAAGAAATAGACTAAGTGTGTAGAACACAATATATATGTGCTAGTAGAATATTGGTAATAAATTAACCCCTCATTTTTACATGGAAACCTTTGATCAAAGACTAGAACATTTTCTTCTGGTTCTAACTGTAGGACTCTACTTTAGGGTTTCTCACTCCCAGGCCATATTGGTTTTCCTATTTCACTAGAACCCCTCTTGTGGTGGGAAAATACAACATTAGGAACAAAGCACATGCAAGAACCATCTAACACAGAATGTTCAGGTATTTTGGTCTTCTAGCTTTGATTTGGATGACCTTTGGAAATGGAGGTGACTGTTAGGATAACCTTTTTTAGGTTTTGATGTTGGTGTATGCTTATTGAAG